GGAAAAAAGCGAGAGCATTGGGTGGCGCGCTCGATGAAGCGTGGCCGGTGCAACGTGGCGAGAACGCTGGTGTAAACGATAAACGTCATATCGTTGGTTGCACGTTGCGCGAATCTTCCCGCGCGCAGTTCCATTGGCCATTATTCGAGGCGTTCACGGTTTTCCCTTTTGCGAATACGCGCGTTCTGTGTGCGTGTGTGTGTGTCTACCTCTCTCGCCGATAGAGAAGAACGGTAGAACGCGCTCGCATAGAGCGGGCTCGCGAGGATATTATCGCGTTCAGGAAACAGCGTTGTACGGGCCGTTAATGCGTCGCTTCGATCCGCAACAGAGCGGTGCCGCTCTTCTCCGTCGCTGCCTCGATGTACCGGAGAGCTCCAGCTGCAGCCACAGCAGCTGTCGGTCGGCTGCTACGTATCGATCGGTTCCACGACCACCGTGAATCGCGTTTCCACCGCAGCCGCAATTCCAATCCTTTCCTCCTCCTCGCACCTCCACGCTCCACGTTTCTTCCTTTTTTTCTTCTTCTTCTTCTCCTCCCCGTTTCTGTCCCTCTCGAGCCACTTCTTCCTCCCCCTCTTTTTTCCTTTCTTCTCCGGCGCTCGTTTTTTCTCGACCAGATTCCTCTTCGAAACGCCGAACGAGAAAATCTGGGATTGGAAGTAGCGCGATATCCGGCTCCACGTTTCGATTCGAGAATCTCCGAACCGAGACGAACGGATGGTGGACCGAGCAGAGGGGAGGGGGCTTCCCCGACGTCCAATTGATTCAGGATTGTAGACTGTAACGGGAACCGCTGTCGCTGTATTACCGGTGCGCTCGTATTCCCAATACGAGATACCTCGACAATTTCCATTGGAACGCATCTGGGGCCTCTTCTCTCTCTCTCTCTCGACGGGGTGATCGTTAAAATCGAGCGGGGATCGTAAATCGTGGGTATCGTTACGTTTCGCGGCGTTCGAACGACGATCGAAAGATCCAATTATCGAACGCCGGCCGTCAATCTCTTACGCCGCGCGTAATACGCGAGCGAAAGGAGCGCTGGATGAAGCGGCGTCGTCGACGTTGGATGGCCGGCCACCGATCGGCCAAATTGATTCTCCCGCTCGATCAACCCCCTTGCGATTCCTACCTACCATTCTCCTCTCTCCTCGTCGTTACGATCCTGTTACGATTATTGGACACGATGGAAGAAGGAACCGTTCCATGGATCAGCTGGAAGATGACGCGGGATATCACGGTTGGGGAGAAATCGAAAGGACGAAAGTCCGTCTCGTTGCGAAGATTTCAAAATTACGTATTCTCAAGAATGATCGTTCGAAAAGAAGCGAGATGAGATAAGATTTCGAAACGACGGGATTAATAGGAGAAACTTCGAGCTAGCTAGTCGGTTATTACGCAACCAACATCTGGTTATTACCAGTCGCGGGGGTGATTATCGAGCGCAATATCCGCCAGCGATAATTATAGATATATCGGATTATCGAAGGGAACAATGCGAGGACGTATCGGCTGTCATTCCAGCTTTCGGATACCCTCCAGTCCTATCGATGCGTCGGACTCGTTAACGGGAGAGGAGGAGGAGGTAAACGCGGCGCGTGTCTTGATCGAGACTTTTATTCGCGATCGAAATCCATCCGACCCGTATCGCAACCGTTTTCCGAACCGTATTATTTCATCCAATGTGCGTTCAATCCACGATCCAACTCTCTCTCCCCCCGAAAACTAATCGCATTAGCGGCTGTCAAAGAATCTCGAAAGAATCACCGACGATATATCAAGGAAGGAGGGGGGGGGAATCTCCACGGGAGTTATGCTCGATCGGGAAACAACAGCCATCGATTCAATGGCACTTTGGAATAATCGGATGTAAGTGTTAGATCCCTTGGTCCAACCGCGACGATCGTTCCCCGAGGTCGAGAATCGAGTATCATTTCGATGTTTACGAAATTTCCAGCTTTCGAAAAACTCTATTCCACATCATTTCGAATCGAAAAGCATCGGATTAACCGATGTTCTTGTGTTTTTTTTTTTCCCCATCCTTGTCCCCATTCCACCAGTGGTTGCGATCCACGCATCGCCGATAATACTTTCGAGGAGGAGGGACGCGAGAAATATTCGAGGCTCGCTTTGTCATCGGTGATCGCCAACAAAGCCGAGCGTGTTGGGGGAAATGTCGCCGCATACCGCTCGGGCCCGGCGCTCGCTCGTTACACGGACGACACTGCAAATAATAGAGCGCGGGGGAGGGGGACGAACAATGGGGCCGAACAATGTATTTATTTTAACAATCGAACGATCCGCCGCGGTCGTTTATCCGTGACCCTTCGAACGCGCCACAGGCCGTTCACCCTCTCTCGTAGTCGCGCGAACCACTCGAAATAAGCGCGACTCGAAACCGCCTCCCTCGCCCGGGTCGATCGGTCGAAACAGATTTGTACAGGAATAAAAACCTTGTACAAAGGTTTGTGGAGAGGATGGAGGGAGGTATCCTCTTGTTCGATTCGAGATTACAAGCGGATGTATAACCGACCGACCCGAAGGAGGGGACCGGGGGTGGTAAGATCGTTAAATCGTTCGGGGAGAAATTGCCGCGTCTCTTGAAAACCGATTTTCGTTCCGGGCGAGGCGATTTTAAATAGCGTGTACCGGTCAACCGGAGACTCGGTTGGAATAATAAATATCGCGGGGAAATATCGCGGACAATTGCAAATTGGTACAAACGAGAGGGGATTGTTATGAGGAGGGTTGTGAATAAAGCTCGGGCGAGGGAGGGGGTAATAGATGGTGGAAAAGAGAAGGAGTCCATTATATATCGCGCGAATATTCATCTTGAAAGTTAACGAACGCGGAGTAGTAGTCTCGTTAACGAACGGGAAAGCTCGTCTGGCCCAGGCCCGGCACAAGAAAGTATCCGCCTCTTTTTCTCGTCCACCGGCCAACCGTCCACCATCCTCGCCTTCTTCTTCGTCTCCGTTTCTTCCTCCTCCTTTCTTCCCTCTCCGTCCCTTTTTTTTTTCTCCCCTCTCTCCCCCCCTCTCTCTCTCTCTCTTCTTTTTCCACTCGTTCG